CCAGGGGAAACCCTAAATCAGTAGATCAGATGACGGCGGCATTATTGTGTCGTTTTCCTCTTGTGGCGTCATTCTTGGAGGTGTTCACGGGCTCGAGGGACCAGTGGACGGAATAATTGGTGGAGCGGTGATTCATCCTGCACATTAATGGTGGCGTTTCTCGGCGGCGTGGCGCAGTGGAGACTCGACGCCCGATGTGTGGCGAGGGACTCGCGCAGGAGGGTGATGTTATCAGGCGTCATGGTGGCGTCGATGGCAGAGAGGCGGGCAAGGTGGTGCAGCAGTACATCACTGAAGATGGATTGGTGGCAGGTGGCTGTGGCAGCCTCATACCCGGCAGGCGGTCTGGTTGAGGAGTGCATCGGACTGGTAGGTGCCCCATACCCGGCAGGCGTCCTGGTTGGGACCTCAGGTCTTATATGTTTAGGTTTGGCTGCGATATCTGTTTGGTATTAGGCCCAGACTATCAGCGCCCCTTCATCAATTGGATAGGAGTAGCGACAATTGTTGCTTAGACGGTGGCTTTAGTCTTACTGTTGTATGACTTTGTAAGGTCTCGTGAGAATAATTAATAAAGTGGCCGTATGCATCGCTCAGATGCAGAGGCCGGGGGTCCTCCTTTTTTTCTAAAAAACAACTAGTGGTGCTACTTCAAGCTCCTAGCCACCGGTGACTACACCAAGTCATCCTCCTCCTATACGGTAAACACTTATGTCAATGCGCATGAAACATAGCCGTCAGGGCTTGTCCTGAGATTTACGGGGCCCGGGCGAGGGGGGGGGGGGGCTTCGATATGAACATCAAAATAATTTTCCTACATGTATATGCGAAACCTTATCAGTCAACCCTTAAAATCCATCCAAAATTAAATAATTTATACTTTACCTTAATTTTTTCTTTTAACGTTCCTAGACACAAATTCATAAATGGAGGTATCAATATCAATATCAATCTCATTCACATTTATTTTCTAAATACATAAAGTTACCAAACCATTTAACCTCTCTTGGGATATTTACAAACCTCACACCGTCTTCCCCAATATATAGATCTTTAAAAGATTCACATGCTACTTCCAGGACTACAATAACCACATAAGGCAGCATCCCTGGGCAATCATCAACATATCCAGTATCTCTTTATACATGTCCTCCTTGATAAACAAAATTGTTCTTGGATGAAGCATTTGAACCATCTTCTAATTCCTAGAGATAACACGGATAATGACTTGAGTTAAGTTTCATAAAATATAGGAGAAAACTGTTGAACAGAAACCGAACGGCATTGCCAAAAAAAACAGAATGGTGCTATCGTGTGGTCGTCGTCTTCCTTACCTGCTGTCTTGGGTTGCGGCGGCACTGCATGCCTGATGATCTAA